TATTCATGAGAGACACAGAGAGACAGAGACATAGGCAGAGGAGAAGCAGGCTCCCTGTAGGGAGCCTGATAGTGGGACTCAGTCCCAGGACCCCAGGATCACAACCTGAGCCAAAGGCAGACGCTCAACCACTGAGCCACCCAGCTGCCCCAGAATTTCCTTCCTTTTAAAGATTGAATAATATTCCATTGCATGGATGGACCACATTTCATTTATCCATTCACTATCTATGTATACTTGAGTTGTAGCCACCTTTTGGCTATTGTGAACAATGCTGCTATGATCATTGAGTGTACAAAATATCTTCCAAAATGTTCTTTCCATTGATATATACCCCAAAGTGAAATTGCTGCATCACCATTAGAGTTTTTTGAGTGTATGAACCATGTCCCTTTTCATTTTCGTGCATGTTTCCTTCTGGTATGAGTGGTATTTTCTATTTATAGGTGGATAGGTAGGTAAATATAGATAGATTCTGTATTTAAATTTTTACTTAAAATTTTATATTTGAATTTATTTTTTTGAAATTTTACATATATATTTATTGTTCATTTGAATTACTTTCATTTGAAATTTGTTTTCTGTGCGTGTTGAATGTGTGCTAACCTTCCTCTGCTTGTTGACATTACAAATAGCTCCTATATTAAATAGTAATACTGTTTAGCCAGATTTTAAATGATAAGATTGCAATGCAGAGCAAAAGTAGAGTCAAACAAGAAAAAGACACTTTACATTTTTAGTCAGCTAATAACATGTATGTATTTTGTCAATTAGTGATTTATTTATTCATTTTGTATTGACTGCGTGCCAGCCATGTACCAGGCATTGCAGTAGGTGCCAGGAATGCTAAGCAGATTCTTGACCTCCCAGCATTCAAAGTCTAGTGAGAGATGCATGCATGAAATAGAGTTATAAAGCAAGTGTGATTGAGAAAGGGTTTTTAAAAGTGCTGTGGCACCACAGAGGAGGGGATGATGTAGATTGCCCAGAGGAGTCTATGATTTCACCCAAGGAGAGGTGTCAATGCAGAATGAACCTTTTAGAATTTCTTAAAAAAAAAAAAAAAAAGGAGTTTTATTCCAGCCCAAGTGAGGGCAGCTGCCCAGGAAACACCACCTTCACAAAGAGGAGAGTGCTTCTCGTAAAGGATCATTTGATGAAGGGTTATATACATTTTATATAGGTAAATTATAACATTTTTAAAAAGTTACAAATGATCCATGTTTCAGGAGGGTGCAGCCCTTAAATTTCTAGTATATGCAGAGCTGTATGACTTTAATAAGCGGGAGAGAACCAGGGAAGTTCTTGCTTCCTCTCATCTGTTGTGCTCAGAATGCACCCTTTTGGTTATTTTATTTAACAAAGCAGATATACATTGTGTGCTCAGGGCAGAAAGAGAGCTCATACTCTGAGGTTTTGCTGAGTCATTTTGACCTTGGTAAATGTTAAAGGAGAGCTTCCCTGGGCGCCCAGGAGCAGGGCCCACAAATATTAAAAGTTGAGAATTTCCTTTATCTGGGGACTTTTATCTCGAGTATTGAAGGATGTGTCGGAGTTTGTCAAGAGGATTAATCAGAAGAGCATTGGAGACTGAGGGAAAATCATGTGCAAAAGCAGATGTTCAGAAAATGGCCAAAAACGAAGTGGCCGGAATGCAGACTGTGCATTTTAGGGAGAGACAGGAAGAAGAATGATGATCATTGAAGCTTGGGGGGTAGATGGAAGATAGGTTCATCAGTACTGGTTATTTTTACGCGACAGTGTGGCACAGCATGGTTTCATTTATTTATTTATTTGCATGGTTTCATTTAAATAGTCAATTGCTTTATTTTTTGAGATTAACCCAGTCAGTAGTGCCGGTCCACGAGGTCAGATTAATCCAAGCATGAGATGGTGGGAGCTTAAATGAAACCTGTAACAATTGAAGTAGAGAGAAAGCATGTTTTTAAAAGGCATTTCTAAAATAAAGGTGTCCTGAGCACGCTCGGAAGGTGCTCCTGCGGGCGGTCTCTTTCCATGGTGTCGGTCACCGAGCAAGGGCAACGTGATTGTGAAGCGGGTGAGGAGTCCACACTCCAGGACACCCCACCACGTGGCTAGCTCGGCTTCTTACAAGGCGCGCAGAGCGGGGCAGAAGCCAAGCCACACAGTGAACCACAGGAGGGGCGGGGGGCAGGACGTTCCTGGGCCAAACACGAAGTCGGGCCGTGGGCGCATCCCTGAGCTGGGGCGTCGGTGGGTCCGGTGGAGGGTCTCAGTTCTGTTGGGGGACACATGGGGCACAGCCCTTGGCGGCGGCTGCCTTTTCCGAGTGCTCAGACACAGAGGGGTCATTCTCAGGAGTCTGATGTTCCTGCAAAAGTCCTCTCTTGCTAAAGGGATTTAATCACCAGTCCTGGGCCCCTGCAGACCTCCTCTGCTTCTGCTTGGTATCGGTTCTGGGGTGTTGTCAGCTGGTGCCGGTCTCGGTGCTGTCTGGTCGCTGCACTGCCCTTAACTGCTCACATCATTGCTTGACACAGGCCCCTGTTTGACTTGACTGACTCCATCTTGTTCTCCATAAAAAGCATCAGGACTTGGAGACAGACTCCTCTTCAAGGGAGGAGAAGGCAAAGTTAGCCACATACTTGAGTCAATGTCTCACTTGGGAGGCTGGGGGGATGCTGATGCTAGAAAGGTCATGAATCATGGATGAGAAATAATTTGTAGGGAAGTATAGGGAGCATGTAAGGAAATAAAAAATATATATATTTTACAACTTCTCCCCTAATTTAATTTTAAATATTACATTAAAAATAGAAACACATTTTGAGTGGTTATCCATCAAAGAATTGTGTCTTTAACTCCTATTTAATTTCCATGGGGAGAATCTGCTTCTCTCAAGATAAGCATCTTTACTACTTTTGATAAGCCAATGGATCTTGGACTTTAGTGTTTCTGGCAAATCAAGATGGGAATTGAACAAATGTTGATCCCTCACTGAAATATTATCCACTTTTCTATGTAAATACTATTTTTCTCATCAAATAAATCCCTTTATTTCAAAGTAATATTAATTGTTGCTCCTGCATAAATTGCTTCCTTTTCTTTATTTCTTTCTCATTTTGTATCAGATTGTCATATGCTGGGGTGCCTGGGTGGCTCAGTGGTTGAGTACCTGCCTTTGGCTCAGGTCGTGATCCCAGGGCCCTGGGATCGAGTCCCACATCAGGCTCCCCACAGGGAGCCTGCTTCTCCTTCTGCCTATGTCTCTGCCTCTCTCTGTGTCTCTCATGAATAAATAAATAAAATCTTTAAAAAAATTATCATATGCTTTTCCCAGTGGTTTTATTTTGGGTGAGGAAACGTTTAAATATTGTAGGTTGAATAAGGCTGTTGATTTCTTTTGAAGCAATCCTGTAGGGTCGGGCATTAATCTTTCTTTTAATAGTGTTTCAGCTGCACTTGCTGTTTCATAATGCAGTCAAATTTCAAAGCTTTGAGGATACAGCAACTAGAGGAAGATGGTTTGGCTCTGATAGGAATTTTTTTTTAAGATTTTATCTATTTATTTGAGAGAGAGAGAGCACAAGCAAGGGCAGGAGCAGAGGGAGAGGAACAAGCAGACTCCCTGCTGAGTGCAGAGCCTAATGCAGGGCTTAATTTCATGATGCTGAGATCATGACCTGAGCCAAAATCAAGAGTTGGACACTTAACCGACTGAGCCACCCAGATGCCCCTATAATAGGAATATTTTTAAAGGTAAAAAAAATCTTACCAACTTTAAATGATGTGTTGTATTCTAGAACGGAAAGATTGAACATTATGATATTGTTACTTAAGAATATTGAGATCAATACACTGGTAAGATAAGCAATGCTTAAAATACAAAATCATTACAAATAACATTTCAAATGATATAAAAAAAACTGTGCTGTCCGATATCGTATCCATAAGGCATGTATGGCTATTAAGCTTGAAATGTGGCTAGTGTAATTGAGGAAATGGATTTTTAAATTTTATTTTAATTAAATTTAAAAACTGTTACTAAATTCAGTTGTTGAAAACTTTTGGAATGTTTGGAACAACTTGAGTATATGCATCTATATTTTCAAGTAAAATCTGAATCAAGTAGTTCTTTGTTTTGTTTTTAATATTTTATTTATTTATTTATTTATTTATTTATTTATTTGAGAGAGAGAAAGAAAGCACAAGTGGAGGGTGGGGGGGTGGGGAGGAAGAAGCAGGCTCCCTGCTGAACAGGGAGCCCGAAGCAGGACTCAATCCCAGGACCCTGAGATCATGACTTGAGCCAAAGGTAGATGCTTAACTGACTGAGCCACCCAGGTGCTCCCAAATCAAGCATTTCTGATGAAAATTTAACATCTAATTTGATGCATTGTGTGTAAAATACATAACAGATTTTTAAGACTTATTGTGGAAAAAAATGGAAACTCAGTAATTTTTCGTATTGATTACATTGACAATCTTTTCAATGTATTTGGCAAAATAAAATGTTATCAGAAGTAATTTCACCTTTTTTTAAACTTTTTTTTAAAAGATTTTATTTATTGAGAGAGAGAGAGAGAGCACAAATGGAGGAAAAGGAGAAGCAGACTCCCCACCAAGCAGGGAGCCTGCCACAGGGCTCAATCTGAGGACCCTGGGATCACAACCTGAGCCAAAGGCAGCCACTCAACTAACTGGGCCCCCCAGATGCCCCTGTAAACTTTTTAGATATGGCTCCTAGAAACTTGAAAATTACCTTTGGAGTTTACTTTTCTGTTTGTAGGCACTGTTACAAAAGGATAAAGGCAGATAATGCTAAATAAATAATGGTTAAAATGTGAGATCAGTTAATATATTCTAAATGGCATAAGAACATAAAGTCAAACAGCTTTGGGAAGTGATCTGGAAAGAAACTAGTATTTATGAGTGCCATGTGACTATATATTTGCTAAGTGCTTCATTTAACTTCCCCAGAGGTCTTTGATGACGATACTATCATCTGCATTTTTCAGATGAAGCGAAGCTGAGTGAAGTTAAGTGCTTTCCTGCCAGGTCACAGCGCTGACAGATGGAGAACTGGATTGAAAATCTGTGGACCACACTCTGTGCAGAGCCTCTGAGCTCCTGCAGGCTCAGCAGGTGCAGCCTCCTGCAAGCTCTGGAGTCTGAGTGTTTTAAGGGTACCCAAGATTTGTTTTAAACAGGTAGGGTAAAACATACAGACATGGAAATGACTGTCATGAAAGAAGCATTTTATCGTATAGTCCCTAAAACCAGAAGGCAGGCCACCTGGGAAGCACCAGGGATGGCCAGGAGGCAAATGGAAGGAGGAGAAATCGTGGATGAGAGCCTGTTGTGGTTTCTGGGGGAAGGGATCCATAAGATAGTGTAAGTGGACTGAAGATTGGCCGCTTTGAATAATTTCAGTAGGCTCTAGGGTATAGAGGTTGTCCCTAGTTGTCTACTACCTAGTCCTGGGGAGGTTAGGGCACAGGACTAGTGACTCAGCATGTAAGAACCCTATAAAGGAGGTGGTTGGGCTCTGGATTGGTTGGTTTCCTTATGAAGGGCACTCTCCCAGGTGTTTGTTCTCTCTTGGAATTAGCTAGCCCTGGGAGGGACAACCCCTCTTGTGTCAGAAAGGCTTCAGATGTCAAAGCACCGAACAGAAACTGGAACACATTGTTATAACACTGAGGCACCCGGAATGAGTCCTTGACGACTTGGGCGGGAGCTGAGAGCTGGGCCACACCATGGGCTGGCTGGGAGAGCTTCAGCCACCAGCACCCCCGGAGGCCAAGCGCCAGGGAGGCTCAGAGGGCAAGGCTAACAGCAGGGCCACCTTTCCCTGCACCCTGTGGGCTTGAGCCTGGCCGCAGACAGCCTGCCCATTTGTTGCATATCTGCTTTCATTCAGTGATGTTTGTAACATCCAAAATTTTCAGCTTAAGTGAAGTTTGAGTACTGTAAATTGTTTCTAGGTAATCACCAAGTATCTGATTCAAATTCACATTCTATAACAATACTAGAGTAAGATCTCATTTTTAAAAATATTTTCTCATTTATTGTTCTATAGCTACATATCACAGAGAGCTACAGAAATTGATGGATACGGTGCAGTCAAGCATAAGGTAATACTATTTTCCCTAAATCACTTGAAACACACCTTACATTTGATCTCAGAGTGGAGACGTTGACAAGGCACTTTGAAAGTTGCCCCGAAGACAACTTGCCACTTAAGATGCGTGTGTTGAGCCCCTGGTCCTGGGACACCTTGAAGGCCACAGAAGTGATTCTGTTGGTGGGCACTGACCTCTGGTTTTGCTGCCATGCCCCAGCGCTCAGGGACTCGGGAACACAGCGCTGTCCCCTCCTCTGCTCCTTCTGAGTCCCTGTGGAAGCACCCAGAGCAGCCCTGTTGACTCTACCTGCCCTCTCACAGGCAGGGGGCAGAGAAGAGTCTGACAGAACCTTGGCTTGACTAGCTGTAAAGAACAGTTATCCATATCCTTCAGGATCTACCTTTGTGCAGGCCCCAGGGTTAACTGTCCAGTATTCAGGATCCCAAAGGGGCTGTTCCCTGGGGGTCCACATCTTCTCTCTCTCCCCCCACCTCCACCCACCTGGCTGTCTCCCCACTACCTCTTTCCCTCTTCCCCTCCACCTCCCTCTTTTTCCTCCCCTCTTTCTGTCTCCCCTTTCCTCCCAGGGGCCTGGCTCCCCTGAATTTGCATTGTGTTTTAGAAAGGAGAACTCTATTCCTTTTTCTTGAAAAAGGGGAGCCTCCTTGTTCATGCACCAGCTACCACCTGATGCCTCCCAAAGAGGTCAGAGCAGACCACCTGCAGCAAACTCACTAGACTGGGCAGAGAAGGTGGTTTTTGCCGTGTTCCCGTGGAGGACTGTCAGGACTATACTGTTGTCAATTATGTCTCAATTAAAATCTTTTATGTCTCTTTTTTAAAAAAAGAGAGCCTTGCACAGTGGATTATATGTAGGAACAAAGCATGGGTGTGATTCTGTCCTTAGGCACCCAGAGGTACCTGCAACTCCTCTGGACCAGTGCTGGTCCCCAGCCTCCCCAGGAATCAGGGCCTTGTCTTGCAATTCCTGAGTGGTTTTCACGCTGAATGATAGTTTCGGTGACCCCTTCTCTTGGCCAGGACACCCTTGTGGAATTTGGGTCATTTGATCCTTCCTGCCTGATGCCTGCCTGCCCAGATTACTGGACCTACTCGGGGTCCTTGACTACCCCTCCACTCTCTGAGTCTGTCACCTGGATCATTAAGAAGCAGCCTGTAGAGGTTGATCATGATCAGGTATGTTCTGTCCACATTTCTGTATGAGGAAATGCTAGTCTGTCCCTTTAAAAACAAGGCTGGGCTCCAACTTTGGCATCCGTTGTTAACATCTTGTAATGCTTATACATTTTTATTAAGATGTGCTATAACATTGTCTCAGTTTGGACATGAAATTGGAAATACTTCAAATTAACCAGAGAGGAGTTAACACATAGAGGAACATAAGCTTTTTGCTCTCATTTTACAGTAACATGTGTTTTACTGTATATGCATTGTGCAGAATCTCTGAAAATTAAGACCTTTAAATGGAAAAAATGAAGGCTGGAAACCCTTTGATATTTCTTTATTCATTTATTATTAAAGTGTAGGTTATACACAATGTTATATTAGTTTCAGGTGTACAACATGGTGATTTGACAATCCATATGTTATGCTGTGTTCACCACAAGTATAGCTACCATCTGTCACCATACAAGTCTATTACAATACCACTGACTATATTCTCTGTGCTTTTTATCTTTCATCCTCATGACTTATTAATTTCATTACTGGAAGCCTGTACCTCCCACTCCTCTCACCGGTTTTTCTCATCCCCCCCATCCCTGATATTCCCTCCCCTCTAGCAAATATCTTTTTTTATATATATTTTATTTATTTATTCATGAGAGACACACACAGAGAAAGGTAGAGACATAGGCAGAGAGAAGCAGGCTCCATGCAGGGAGCCCGATGTGGGACTCGATCGCGGGACTCCAGGATCACACCCTGGGCCAAAGGCAGATGCTCAATCGCTGAGCCACCCAGGTGTCCCCCCTCTGGCAAATATAATTCAGAGTTTATTCTCTGTATTGATGCAAAAACCTTAATTTTCTTAAGAGAACTTACTGTGAAATTTCAAGGTAAAGACAGAGCCCAACAGTATCTATACAGAAATTTTATTCTAAGTCAGAGGTTTTGACTTGGTAATTGTTCTTCATTTAGAAATGAAAGTTTAGGGGCACCTGGGTGGCTCAGTGGTTGAGCGTCTGCCTTTGGCTTGGGTCATGGTCCCGGGGTCCCGGGGTCTAGTAACATCAGGCTCCCTGCAGGGTGCCTACTTCTCCCTCTGTGTCTCTGCCTCTCTCTCTCTGTGTGTATCTCTCATGAAAAAATAAATAAAATCTTAAAAAAAAGAAAAGAAATGAGAGTTTCAGTGGTGGTTACTATGTCAACACAAAATGTTTAATTCAAAAATGAACTAACTGTAATAATAATTGCTTTTACTTGTTTTTTTTTTTTTGGAATTCTGATTAAAAAATTTTTACAAGAACAGAAGCTTCCAAGTTCTTTTTTATGAAGCCAAGACAACAATGAAACCAAAACCCACCAAAGATTGGACACTCCCCAAAAAGTAAATACTAAGCCCCTAAAGTAATATCTGTCAAGAATATTTAGGAAAAAAACTAAATAAAATGTTAGAATCCACCAGTATATTAGATAGGATTTTTTTCTAGTAGGATTTGTCCACATAGGATTTTTTTCTAGTTATAAGGATCATTCAGTATTAGGAATCATATACTTATGATCAATAGATTACATCCCATCCGCAAAGCTAAAGGGAAAACTCATATTTTCATAAATTCCTAAAATATATTTGATAATTCATCATGTATTTTTTTAAAAGATTGTATTCATTTAGGGGTTCCTGGGTAGCTCAGTTGGTTAAGTGTCTGCCTTCAACACAGGGCTCAATCCCAGGACCCGAGATCATGACCAAAGCCCAAATCAGATGCTCAACCAACTGAGCCACCCAGGTGGCATCATCATGTATGTTTTGTAAAATTTTTTAATAAAACAAATGAGAATTCCCTAAGTTAATAATGTCGATTAATCTCGGCTCAGAAGTAGAGTATGACTGGTATGGAAAGGATATCTACTAACTCCACTATAATTATTATACTAAATATTAAATTGATTAAATTCTGGTAGCAGCCAATAAAGTTAGGCAAAGTAAGATAAAGGAGGGTTCCCCGGGTGGTTCAATTGGTTACGTGTCTGCCTTTGGCTCAGGTCATGATACTGAGGTCCTGGGCTGGAGCCCCACATCGGCTCCCTGCTCAGTGGGAACCTGCTTCTTCCTCTCTGCTTGCCACTCCCCCCCTGTTTGTACTCTCTCTCTGTCAAATAAATAAATAAAATCTTAAAAAAAAAAGAAATGAGAGGAACATTATTGGAGTACTGTACTAATTTATAGACCTCAATTCCTATGACAGTCAATCACAAGATATAACAGAAGAAAGAACCCTACTTATAATGGAAACTAATAAACTAAAATACCTTCGAATGAACTTGAAATGTTAAAACTGTCAAATATTCCTAAGGGACACAAAAACTATTTCAAATAAAATGCATACTATGTTATTGAATAGAAAAGTATCCCAAAGACACCTTTGATGTCAGTTCTTAAGTTGTAATTTTCCATGAGTTGTTTATTCTCCATAAATTTCATGTGGTCCTTATAAATAAATCAGTAGTTACATTGTGGGATACTGTCCTGTGTATTATAGGATGTTTAGCAATATCCCTGGCCTCTACCCACTGGATGCCAGTAGTACCCCAAAGACTGACAACCAAAAATACCTACATACATTCTCTGATGTCTACTGCAAGCTCACCCCTGCTTGAGCACCACTAATATGTACTAATCTTTAATATCAACTAATAAATGAAATCCTTTACCGCTTAGTGTGTGAAAGAAACCTCTTCAGTGTGAAAATGGCTTTTAATTAACACATTAGTTTACCAGTAAAAGCATAGGGGTGATTCACTTCTTATTCCCTATAGCTCACCAGCAGAAAACTGATTTGTTGGAGGATTCTTTACTTACAAACCAGAATGACACTCTGTTGTGCTGCAGATAGGAAAACTCCTGAGGACATTTGAAAGAAAAATACATTATAAGAAATCCACACACAATGGGATTAGACTGTCCAATCTCATGCTATGCCCACCTGAAGAGATAGGTATCTATGAAGAGTTATTTCTATCATAAGAATTTCTCTTTTAAAAATCATCTACCTGGGGGATCATTCCTTAAATAAAAAATTGCCCCCTCCCAATTTCAGTGGTGAGTGGAGAACGCTACCCATGAGATAACCACACCCCTGCATCCCAAAACATTTGGTATCTCTCTGAAGGGGCACCTGCACCCAAATGTTTGTAGCAGCAAAGTCCACAGTAGCCAAAATAAGGAAAGAGCCCAGATGTCCATCGATGGATAAAGAAGACATAGTATATATGTGTCTGTGTATATATATACACACATACAATGGAATATCACTCATCCATCAAAAAAATGAAATCTTAAAAAAAATGAAATCTTGCCACTTGGAACAACGTGGATGGAACTGGAGGTTATTACACAGAGCAAAGAAAATCACAGAAAGACAATTACATTATTTCACTCATAAGTGGAATTTAAGAAACAAAACAGGATCACAGAGTAAGAAAGGGAAAATAAGATGAAATCAGAAAGGGACACAAACCATAGGAGACTTTAAAAAAAATTCATTTATTTGAGAGAAAGAACATGGGCAGGGGGAGAAGCAGAAGAAGGAGACTCCCCACTGAGCAGGAAGCCCAACAACTTGGGGCTCCTGGGGATCAATCCCAGGACCCAGGATCATGACCTGAAGGCAGGTGCTTCACTGGCTGAGGCACCCAGCCCCCACCCCCCATAAGAGACTCTTAACTTTAAGAAACAAACTGGGGTTGCTGAAGGAGGGGTAGGATGGGTAACAGGGTGATGAACATTAAGGAGGGCACTAAATGTAATAAGTACTAAATGTTATATGCAACTGATGAATCACTAAAGTCTACCTGTAAAACTAATTTAAAAAAAAAAAGGAAAACCTCAAGAATGTCTTCATTTAGCGATATTTAGCATCCTCAACGTTGAGCTGTCCACCCCGCTCAGCTCTGGATAGAATCTGTTGCCTGTTTTTGGGCTTATCATTGGCTTCTCCTTTATATCTCTCATCCGATCATTGGAGCCAGCCCAATAGATGCATTCTGCATGGGCTTTTGAGGGAATTTTTCACAAAAAGAGATTGATTCACACCAACTTAAACAGACCTTAAACGTAAGGACTAAAATCAGTTACCCAGCAGCCCTTGAACACTTGTGGATGTCAGATGTTTTCAAGTACTAATGGAAAATATGACTCTACTCCATCATTATCAATAGAAATGAAAAAGGAAAGTCATTTGGATTCACAGAAAACACTTTCTTGGACTGTAAGAAGGCTGAAAATTATAGGGGAGTCCACAAAAATCAACGTTGTTGGGGCTAAAAGATAAACCCTGAACGGCTGTCACCATTTCCTTGAGAGCAAAATCGCAAAACGGGGGGGGGGGGGGCTCAGCAAGCAGCCTGGCAGATGGAAACGCACGTGCCCTTTACGAGTGCACACAAGCTCGTCTTTCGTTAAAAGGGCGTTCAAGTGCTCTACGTTCATTTTCGCGGTAACGCAACAGAGGGCCATTGTGCGCACGTTCTGTACTTGTGAGGAGCTGACGGAGATGGGCGCATCTCGTCCGTCCAAACGTCGGGGCCGGACGCCAAGGCCTCCTGGCCGCGCTGCCCAGGCCAGGCGCCGCGGGCCTGCGTGGGGAGCTGGGGGGCGCCCCCGGCAGTTGCCGCGCCCGCCAGGCGCTGGCCCAGCTCGCGCAGGACCCGTGACCCGTGACCCGTGACCCGTGACGTGACCCGTGACGCAGGGTTCCCACGAGGGGCGTCTGCCAACGGTCGCCCTGGCCCTGCGCGCCTCGCGGCTGCGGACACGGCTGGGGGCCGGGGGGGGGGGGGGGGGCGCCTGCGGGAGCGACTTGCCGCGGCAGAGGCGGAGGCCGGAGCGCGCCGCCCCGCGGTCATGGGCAGCTACCTGAGCTCGTACCTGGGCACCACGAAGGACACGAAGGACACGAAGGACGCGCGGCCGCGCCCCGCCTGGACGCGCCCCGCCCCGCAGCCCGGGCCCGCGCCGCGCCCGCTGGGCCTGGGTCAGGGCCAAGTGCTCTCCTTCTACCGCGAGCTGTGGGGCCGCCGCAGGCCGCTGCCCACCCTGCCGCCCCGCTGGGGCCACACCGGGGGCCAGGGGGTCGTGGTCCCCAAGCCCTGGAGACGCTTCCACAGCAAGTCGCCCCTCGAGATCCTCACCGACTGGGACTCGCCTCGCAAGACGTGGACCAGGCCCTGGCTTTGGAAAGCCCAGAGCCTCCTGAGCGTCTGGAACATGGTGACCGTCAACGTCCCTTCTCCTGAGAGCCGAGGCAGCGTCTCCAGGGCTCCAGGCGACCAGGAGCACCCGGACCCCGGTGCCGAGGAGAGCCCGCTGCGGGCTCCCAGCCGACGCAGGACAGGAAAGAAGAGGACCCACAGACCGCTCTGGTTTGAAGCCCCCCACGGCAAGAGACGGAAGCTGAACGCAGAGGCCAGGGCATCTGCCTTCAGGCCCGTATGGAGAGACGGAGTGGTCCCGATCTTTGTGCCCAGGCCTGGGCCTCTGAGAAGAGGCTTCTGCTCCTGGCCTCCGCCTGTCTAACCCAACACCCACCTGGGGCCCGACCTGCTGCCGCGACACCAGCAGCCCGGGGCCCTCCCTGTATCCTGAGCCACAGTCCCGCCACCACCACCTCCACGTCCTGAGACTCCAACCCGCCGGCCGCCGGCCGTCCGTTTACCCTGCTGGCCCCCGCCCCCTACGTGAGGCACTGACACCACCAGCCAGCCCTCACCACCCCAGCCTGCACCTCTGCCAAGGCCCCCAGACCCGCCTCTGCTGATCCTGCAGGGCCCACACCGAAGAAGAAACAACACCGTTGCTGTCAGAACCTCTGCCTTCCTCCTGCCCTGCCCTGCAACCCCACCTACCTACCGGGAAGGCCTGCTTCTCCCCTGTTTTCCCAGTTTCTATAGTGAAAGCAGCGTGCGTGTTCTATTTTAATAATAAGAAGAATAAGCAACTTGAGTATCACACAGTGTCATTGTCTTTCCTTCAAAGGTACGTGGAGTGCGATTTCGTCTGCACCAGGAATTCTCTACCCTGGCACTCTCAACATCTGGGGCCAGATAACTGTTGTTTGTTGGGTGCTGTCCCCTGCTTCGCAGGCTTTAAGCAGAATCCCTGGCCTCCAGCCCCCAGGGGCCAGCCAGCATACTCAGGTGGTGAAAATACAAACGCGTCTCCAATCATTGCCAAATATGCCAGGGCGAGGTGGGAGGTGGGCTGGATGGTGGGGGGGTGGAGGAAGGGGGCGGGGTGGGGCTGGGGTTGGGGGGTGGGGAGGCACACTGGTGGACAATGTCCGAGGGACGCTGACCTCTACTGGCAGAAACGGTCAAGCTGGGTCTCGGCAAAATGCGCTGTTTTAAAACCCGGCACAGATAGACATGAACAGACTGAAGTGGTCTATGCTTAGCAAAAAACATTTCCCCCAGCTTTGGAGAATGCGGTGCAGTGTGATGGATTCAAATAGCTTGGCCCTATTATTCATCAGAAAATGCAAATTTAAAACCAATAAACT